TTTTGAGACAAGTCTTTCTCTGTCGCCAGGCTGGAGTACAGAGGCACTATCTCAGCCCATTGCAACCTCCGCCTCCCAGGTTCAAGCGATTCCCCCCCTGCCTCAGCCTCCTGAGTAGCTGGGACTACAGATGTGCAGCACCACACCCATCTAATTTTTGTATTTTTAGTAGAAACGGGGTTTCACCATGTTGGCCAGGATGCTCTTGATCTCTTGATCCGCCCACCTCAGCCTCCCAGAGTGCTGGGATTACAGGCATGAGCCACTATGCCTGACCAATAACCGTTTCTTGCTAAATCCACAGTTATTATATAAACTCAAGTTGTACCTACCGTATTGCTTGTTCCCAGACTGGCCCCAAGAAGGCTGTGGTTTGTTTTGTGTGTCTTACAACACTTTCCTTATTTGCTGTCAGATGTCAATCTCAACACCTTGACCAAAATGAACTTTCTTGACCTATTTCTTCTCTGGTCTGCTATAAGATTAGAATTCATAGATTTCTACGACTTGTGTAATAAGGTAGGAATGAGGAACTAGGTTCTGGGAGAAAGACTCTCCTTTGGAATAAAATCATGAGCTTTATTGGTTCCTTTAACAGATCTTCATTGAGTTTCATGTGCCAGGCATCCAACTATTCTCTGCTTTTATAGTTATCCGTCTGACAGGGCTCTAGTATGTACACACTGTGACATCTGTTGGCTGCCAGGAGACTGTTTGGCTTATTTCTTGGTTCTTAGCAATATTCCAGGTTGTTGGCCTGAAGAATTCCAAAGGTGGCAGTAAATATGAAAATTTATATCTACAAAACAGAGTGCTTCCTTTATAGGAAGAATTTCTGTAGGATTTATTGAGATTTAAGCTACCTACATACATAAAGTATGTGATATGATTGTAAAAAGTTGCAGAAGTGTGTAACTCCTGAAGTACCCGTAAAGGAAGTTTTATATATTTTTTCAAACTCTTTAGTACCATTTTCATCCACTAGGTGGAAACAACTACAATATGACCTGCATGAAAGAAATAGTTTTTCAGTCGGATGCAGTGGCTCACACCTGTGATCTCAAAACTTTGGGAGGCTGAGGCAGAAGGATTGCTCGAGCCCAGGAGTTTGAGACCAGCCTGGGCAATGTGGTGGAACCCTGCCTCTACAAATTAAAAAAAAAAAAAAATAGCTGGGCATGGTGGCACATGCCTGTGATCCTAGCTACTCAGAAGGCTGAGGTGGGAGTATTGCCTGAGCCCAGTAGGTCAAGGCTGCTGCAAGCTGCTGCACCACTGCACTCCAGCCTGGGCAACAGAGCAAGACACCCATCTCAGAAAAGTACAGTTTTTATATTGATTACGTATTCCTTAAGTAGGAATGGAATAAAAGTATTTTACCATGGATTGGCTTCTGTCAAGGAAAGAAGTGAATATTAGTAGATATTTGGAAAAAAGAAAGATACTTGGTGCAGTGAATTATTCTGTTCCTTTGTAAGTTGCCATTAACCTCTCTTGCTTAAGAAATGTTTTGAGCTTTTTTGGGGAGGAGTTGTTGTAGTTAATGATGTGAAATTAATCTTCAGGAAATTTATCATAAGCAGAACTGCCTTTCCAGATATTTGTATATTTTAACCCTCTACCTGAATGCATGACAGGCACTTTACCATGCTGGTTTTAAAAACGTTAATCTGAAAATAATAGAAGGTGGGATTGATGCTTTGCCATCTATGGTAGTTTTAAAATCTATCCACAAATTTTTGATATGCTCCTCTTTAAGACAGGACACTTCATTACCCTCTAAGTACAGGCTGAGTTTAATGATTTCCTTCCAACAAATAGATGATGTGTTGCTTCTGAGGCTAGGTAATAAAAGGCATTGATTGCATCCTCCTTACTCTGTCTTGGGTCATTCACTCTGGAGAAAGCCAGCAGCCATATTGTAAGGCCACTCAAGCAGCTCCATGGAGAGGACCTAGAAGTGAGGAGCAGCAGCCTCCAGCCAAAAACCACATGAGGGAGGCATCTTAGAAGCAATTCTCCAGGCCCAGTCAAACTTTAGATGACAGCAGTCCCAGCCAACACTCTGACCACAACCTCATGAGAAACCCAGAACCACCTAGCTAAGCCACTCTCAAATGTCTTATCTACAGAAACTGAGATGATAAATGTTTGTGGTTTAAGCAACTGTTTTTTAGAGTGATATGTTACATAGCAGTAGATAACTGATACAATATACACTCTCTTCAGGAGGTGTATTAGGATGGGCAGGGTAGTTTGAGTTGTTGATTTAAATATAAAACATAGCTCACTTATTTACAATTAGGTAAAGTTAACATAAACTGTATTACTTTTGTTCTCAGAGAACACCTGAAATGCTCTTGCCTGTTGGTTTGATTCCATGATATCTTGAAATAGAACGAACTTCCCAAATGAAGTTTAGTAGTCCTCATATTTTATTTCCTGGGAATATTAGGATACATTTTTTAGAAGCCTTGATGGGCAGATTTCCAAATGAAACCAGAGAATTTGGAAAGACTGACCATGAGAATTCAGTGAGCTACACAACTGCACACAGATTCCTCAGCTAGTCCCCTTCTGCCCTACCTGTTGAGTTGTGACAGCTCATTAGGATGGACTGTCAGCACTGCATACTTGTAACCAGGCTCACAAATGAACATAAGGCTGTGGAAATAACAAGGGCTCTCTAAAGCCAGACTTGATCCTGCATTGTTAGCCATTGCTGAAACCAGGCAAAAGTAAATTGCCTGCATTTTCAAAGTGGCCGTTGTAAACCAGCCAGCATCTAGACTTTTCATTCAGGAATGTCACGCATGTGGCCAGGATGCCTGTGGCTAGTTCTGTCAGAACAGGTCTGGTGGTAGAATATCAGGAGCAATTACCAGATGTACTGATAGGAGTGTTTGTGCTCAGCTTGTGAGTAGGAGATTGGGGAGAGAATTCCAAAGGAAGATTTGTCGGTCTTTACTGTGAAAGACTACAGAAGTCGAAGAAAGGTCAGGAACTGGGAGTCAGGTGGTCTCGGTTTAGTGCTGGCCTTTTGTTCCTAATGCTGGGGCAGACTCCATCTCTCTGACCTCAAGATCTTCATCTGTAAAATTACGGATTTGCTAATTGGTGAGTCTCAAAGGAGGCTACAACCCTGCCTTTCACGTTCCTGAAGGGCTTTTTCAAGCAGAGCACTTCTACCTTTCTCTCCTTGGTTGAGAGTCACAGCCACAGGGAGCTCATGTCAGAGGTGGGAAATGGCTGCGAGCCATTGGACTGGATGATCTCAGAGATTTTCAGCCTGACACCAGAACCTGGGTCCCAAGGCAAAGTGGACAGGACATCCTTCCATCTTTACAGTTTCTCAGACTTTCTGTTGACCTTTGGGGACTTCTTTTCCCTTCAAAGTAAACTTTGACTTCATCTGAGGATAAGATTTAAGAAGGAAGCACAGTGTGATTTGCTTTGGGTCTCTTAATCTTTAAAAAGTGAGTCAGAATGCTGGTGTTTTTTGTTTTTGTTTTTACTCCTGGTCTCAAGCAATTCTGCCTCATCCTCTCAAGGAGCTGGGTTTACAGGCACGTGCCACAATGCCCAGCTCAATAATGCATTTTATTGATGTTTGAGATGGAATCTTGCTATGTCACTGGAGTGCAGTGGTGCCATCTCGACTCACTGCAACCTCCACCTCCTGGGTTCAAGCGATTCTTCTGCCTCAGCCTCCCGAGTAGCTGGGACTACAGGTACATGCTACTAACCCGGCTAATTTTTTAAAATTTTTATTTATTTATTTTTGAGATGGGGTCTCATTCTGTCACCCAGGCTGGAGTGCAAAGGTGCAATCTCAGCTCACTGCAACCTCCACCTCCCAGGTTCAAGCGATTCTGCTGCCTCAGTCTCCTGAGTAGCTGGGATTACAGGTGTGTGCCACCATGCCTGGCTAATTTTTTTTGGAGACAATCTTTTGCTCTTTGTTGCCCAGGCTGGAGTGCAGTGGCACCATCTCGGCTTACTGCAATGTCTGCCTCCTGGGCTCAAGCGATTCTCCTGTCTTAGCCTCCTGAGTAGCTGGGATTATAGGCGCATGCCATCATGCCCAGCAAATTGTTTGTATTTTTAGTGGAAATGGGGTTTCATCGTGTTGGCCAGGCTAGACTCGAACTCGTGACCTCAGGTGATCCACCTGCCTGGGCCTCCCAAAATGCAGGGATTACAGGTGTCAGCCACCACGCCCAGCCAAAAACAGTACTTTTTTTCTTTAAAGCAGTCAATATAAAATGAGAATTCAAAAATTATGTTCATGTTTGTATCACATAATTTATTTTTTCCATAATAACACAAAAATAAGCAAAAGACATTAATTTTAGAGAGGTGGGCAAGAGGCCTATGGTTCTTAACTGGAGACAGTTTTTGTCTCCCAGGGAACATATTTGATAATGTTTGGAGACATTTGTGGTTGTCACAACTAATGTGGGTGGTGTGCTACAGGTTTCTAGTGGGTCAAGGCCAGGAATATAGTTATACATCCTACAATACAAAGGACATCCTTC